CTACCGTCACAATTCACAAGCCTGAAATAAAAATTTGGCATCAGCCACCAATACAAAACCAAAAGTGGAAACCAAACCAAACCATAGACAAAATTCATTCCAGTTGATATTATTCACCTTACTACTGACAAAAACAACAAACCTAAAATATCTATGGCACCAACCATGTGCATAAGTTCTTCAAATAACATACGATTGAACAAGAGCACAAGAAAAGGAAAACAACAATCTGGTTACTGGACTGCTACGTATGATTTATGTACTAATCTTACCTATCTAAACGACAAAGATTATATTACATGATCATAATAATGAAGATTTTCAGAGGAAAGTATGAAGGTTTGGCTAAAAGTCTTGAAGGAGCTTCTAAAGGAAATTGAGAAAAGTTGAGAAGAGCTACAAGGTTGGGAAATAGAGTGGTGATAATTGTAAAATATAGAAACACTTTGTTGAAATAAAAACAAGACATACTTTTTTATATTAAGGTTATGTTTGAGTCACATTTTTTCAAAAAAAATATATTTTTAAACAATGATTTGACATAATTTCAATAACATATTTTTCAATAAAATAATATTACACGCAAATTCAAAACTTTTCTTTAGTTTTTAGTTACACATTTTTCATCAATACACTATTCAAAAATGCATTATTAGGAATATAATGTGACTCAAACAAGGGCTAATTGTCTACAAAATAAAAATTAATATAAAGCAGAATACATTCAACTTTAAATAAACTAAAACGACACAAAAACTGTGATGCTTCCCAACAAGATGTTCTCCTTTTTTTAAGAGAATTGATTGGCTTTGCATTGCCTCATGAACTTCTATTTGATGAATTTTCAATACCGCCTAATTAAATCTATATTCCACCCACAAGTTTAAAAGAGAAATTAAGACCATTCAGATTGGAATTTCACCAAGAAAATATTACAATAAGCACTCGTGTGTGAAGTTGACTTTTGAGAAATGATTTTATGAAATGTGAATTTTTTTTGTTAGAATATATGATTAATCGATTATAGACCATGCAAACTAGAAATACTTTTGGCTTATTAGTAATGCATAATCAACTTTCTTTCGTAGTACTCTACTTTCAAGAGAAATCAAAAGATAGATGATTTTCTTGAATTTTATTTTTTTCATTTTTTTTATCTTTTGGCAATTGAAACAAATTTCATCCCCAAAAACAATTTCTAGACAATTCAATTCCCTATAATTCGTTTTTCATCCAAATTTCATCTTTGCAATCAAATGGACCCTTATACTTATTGTCATAGAACTACAAAATCCAATAAAGTTGGTAGCAGAGTTAATCGAGGAAGCTAATTAAGAAGAAAGAAAAGAAAAAAGAATTTAATTATAACGTAATTTAAAAATAATATAAGGTGAAACCTAAAATGAGAAATACAAATTTTCTTTTCACTAACATGTAAGAATATGTAAATATCGATTGCATATTTATGTAAATGCTTTATTCTCTGATATTTAATTAATTTAGAATTTTCGTTCTTAAGTGGACATGTTGCCTTTCTCGCGTGCAGATTTAAATTGAAAAATAGAATAATTTACTTTGGGCAAGTCTAGAACCTAATATAATTTAGCTTATCTATTCCAGCATGGTGTTTATACTTTTCACTTTTCAGCTCTGAAATATTCTTTCCAAATAAGGAAATAAAAATTACTTTACAAGATTTACTTTCCATTTTGAATCTATATATTAATACATGGGTTGATATATTTCCATGGAGACCAGACTCATTTAATTAATGTTTGGATATAATTCTGCATAAAGTTGACTTTGATTGGGGGCAAGTGAAAATATGAAAACTAAGTACTTTACGATGTGATTAAAAGGTTAGAAGAGAGTGAGAGCGCTCCCCGGGGCACAGCTCAACTGGTGGATCAATCAACATTTTCTTGCTTCCAGCGGCAGGGTGGAGAGCTCGATTCCAGGTGTGAACCTGCGGCCAAATATTTGGTATGGAGCAATCACTGTGGAGAAGGGTCTCTTGTGCGCAGAAGTGTACGGGCAATGGGGGGAACCTGTGATCCAGTTGAGGCATAACCCGCGATTTACGCCCTTCGAGGTTCTAGAGGCAAGGGTCTTGGGGGGTTCAAGATTTAGTCTGATGTAAGCTGGGATACCTAGATATCAAAAAAAAATAAAAAAAAAATAGAAGAGAGTGAGAGCACATGGCCTGCTAGGAAGCATGTGGCAGCTTGTTGCAGGTCATGGAGGAGCATGTGCAAGGAAAATGTCGTGGGTCCAGAAATCTATGGGAAACATACTTTTCCAGTTTCTTTAAAGGCTTTGGAAATGTGCGAGATACTTAGCGCTTGTTTAGTAGGAATTTTGATAATTGATTTTTTGATCGTTAAAAATAAAATGGGACCAATATGTAAAAGAAGAATTAAAAATGATAATTCAAATAGTGAAATAACGATAAAAAAATTGATTTTAATTAGATTAAAATCTCTACCAAACATGCGCTTAATAACATCTTTGCGTATTTTAATGTTGTTTAGTTACCTGTGTTTAACAATTAGGGTCCGTTTGATTGCAAAAATGAAATTGAAAACGATTTTCAGGAAATTGAATTGCCTAGAAATTTTTTCTTGGAAATGGTAAATTATTTTATTTGATTGTTATAATTTTTCACGTGGAAAATGTTGAAATAAAAGTGTTTTTAGTGCTCATTTGGCTTTGTTTTACATGAAAATTGTCAATTAAAAGGATGGATTTTATTGGTATTAGGAATGAAATTTGTTTCCATTGCCAACAAAAAAAATTCAAGAAAATCATCTATCTTTTGGTGTTCGTTTGACTTTATTTTATATGGAAAATTCCAATTAAAGGGAAATATTTTTTTCACAATAATTCTTAAAATTTGTTTCCTTTGTAAAAAAATAAAAATTCGAAAAGAAAATCTCTACAGTGCCCGGAAAACGAATTCTCACCAATATGGAAAATGCTGACGTGAGAATTCTAATTCAAGAAAAAGATGGGAAAATGTTGACATGGCGGCCAAAGGTGGAAAACAAATTCCTTGAAAATTTTGGTCAATCAAACAGGCGAAAAGTGGAAGTTGGAATTCTTTTTCCATTTTCCCTAGAAAATAAAGGGCTATCAAACATGCCCTTATATACATTTGCTGATTGGTTCTATGAAAGCAAATACTGAATCATGCTTATTTTCCTTCGTAGTCAGGGCCTCGTGATGGAACCATTCAATGCTCCATCAGGAGGGACAAGTATAATTTAACGTAACATCTTTTGTTGTGTCTGAGTCCTGGTATGCATTCTCTAGACCTTCCGAAGTTAATTATGAAAAAAGGTTGAACCCCAACCTTTAGAATCCCCCACCGCTCCATCGCTGGAGTATCGTGAGAGAGGTTAATCGTGGGATGTGCTCCAGCAGGCCAGGGAATAAGAGCTACCCACAAAGAGTTACAATCCATATTTCAAGAATCAAATCCTCACACTGCGGCTATCAGTAAGGCTGAGTATACCTCATCCTTATCCTTTGCACCACTGGGATATGCCCCGAGGGCTTTCGAAGTTAATTATGTATTTGTAGTATTGGGTGTTTAAATGGTACTTCGTTGTCAACCTGACTTTTTGTATCAAAGGATATCTATAATAGCATGAACACTTACTATTTGATAAATTACTAGTAAATGTATTTTGCGTCATGTTAGAAGGTGCTTCCATAGACACGCATGACTTCTTTTTTTAACAAAAAATTATTTGTTTGGCTACAAAAGGTAGCTGATATTATGTTACAAACTGAGAAAGCAAAATTAGGTTGGTCTCCTGATCATTATAAAATCTAACATAATATATTCATGTAAAAACTAGTAGGAAATAAATTTGAAAAATTCTAGATGTACATAATTTTTGTCCATAAGGGTGTCCATGCTTCTCACATAAAGTGGGACCCACAAAGTGTATTTTGTGGTTCACACTTCATGTGAGAGGCATGAACACCTTAATGTACAAAAATTATGTACATCAATCAAATTACAATAAATTTTACGCACTTTAGAAGTACAAAAATGGCCCGCAGAATGGCTATCAATTAGTCTATACATAAGTAATGTAGAGCTATTTTTCTAAATAGATTATTTTAATCTGGAGAATGTTCAACTCTTTAATTACGATTTCACAAATATGCTACAATTGTTTTTTTTTTTTTTTGTCTCCTTGATATCCACTTGACAGTAATTGAGTGAAGCAAGCATGGGGCTGTCCACTTGACAGTAATTGAAAAAAAAAAAGGTAGCTGTCCAAGTCAGAATGCTGCCACAATTTCAAACGTGAGGACCACAAATGATGAAAAAGAGATTTAAAAAAGGACATTTTAAAAAATATTCAATTTTAAAGGTATGAGTTGAAAAATGTCCACTCATTTGAATTTAGTGCCAACTTGTCTCTTATGCCCTTGATGAAAAGTTACGTTTTGAATTGATATTCTCGACACTTTAAATGTCGTTCTCGACATTTGATTTTTTTTATCAATTTGTCACGAATTTTGAGAGGTGAATTTCATGAGAAGCTACATTAAAAAAATGTTTTTTGACATTTCATTTGTCATTCTCGACATTTGAACATCGTTTCATTTATCTAGAATGATATTTCATTTTGAACAAAACATTTTTCTACATTTAAAAATATCGTTCTTGACATTTCTGAATCAATGAAAAATATGACATTTATTGTGATTTGACATGAATACTTTTTGAAATAAATATGACAGGTTATGTGTCAAAATTTTATTGACCAATAACAATATTGTAAAAATGTCCATTTTTTTGTCTTAGTGTGGAATTATAAATTGTTAATAAGGATATTTTGATCTAAATTCTTTCAAATTAGACATTTTTATAACGGTGGACATTTTTACAAATGACTAAGTAAAAATGGATATTTTGTAAAATTTCCTCTTTGTAAAATTGGAAAGAATTGGGGGTGGGTGGGGGGGAGGGGGCTAAACACACGCTTTTGCTTTCTTCTTCTCTCTAGCTCTTCCTTGAATCAGATTTAAATCCCAGCTTATATAGTACGGATGAGTCTCTCTCGATTGCTGGGTCTGTGAAAGTTGACTGAATTTTTGGGTTGGAATATACACACACATATATACATAAATCTAGATGTGGGTTTTCAAGAATTTGAATTCCTGAGGTATATATCTTGATCTGCTTTTCTGATCCTTTGAATTTTTGGTTATATAGATACTTAAATGTTTCATAATTTTGTTCACATTTGATTATCTTTTTTAATTTTAATAACACTACTGGTTTTCAAAGAGTTGAACATTGTGCGGATTCATTTGAGTTTGGGTTTTCTGGGTCTTCCTCATTTATCTATATATTTATTTTTCTATCTTTGTGATAGTTTAGTTTTATTTTGAGAGTGCTAAAGAGCGGTCTTTTGTTAATTTTGATGATTTGTCGAAAGGGTAATGTTTGGTGAAATTTGAGCCTTTTGGATGTCGGGGCTTTTAATTCAGAAAAAAAAAATTATATAATTTATATGGTTCTTGCAGATCTCTGAAGAAGCTATGAAGCTTGGATTTGCTTACAGCCCTTTTAGCAGGTTAGCTACTTATTTTCTTGTTGATACCATTTGAAGGTTTTTTTCTTTTTCTTTTTCTTTTTTCTTTCTTTTTTTTTTATCAAAATGATTTTTTATTTTTTTATTTCCTGAATTTCTTTTTCGGTCCAATATATAAGTTTCAGAGTCACATCTTAAGCTCCAAAGATTATTACCTTATCTCTATGATTTAGCTTTATATTTTTAGGTCCTTAGCACCAAACTTGCAAATCAATATTGTTGTTATGTGGCCAACCGCTAACGAATTCCTTTGAGTCTATATATTAATACATGGATTGATATGTTTCCATGGAGACCGGAGTAATTTAATTAATGTTTGGATATAATTCTGCATGAAGTTGACTTTGATTGGGGCAAGTGAAAATATGAAAACTAATTTCACTTTGAGAACTTAAAGATAAGTTGTGTCCAACAAAAGTTATGTGATTGAATCTACTTTAATGTCCATATGAAGTTGTCCTTTTCTAATTTTCCCTTCTCTTTTTTTTTTTGCCTATCTATAAATGCCTTTCTTTACGCACCCCTTTTTTCTTTTCTTTTTGGTTATACATTTTTGTCTCTGAAAACTATTTACTTTTGCTCATTTGTAGACAAAAATTGATGTAAGCGGGGATTTCATCTATTGGGAAACGACTTTTGAAATACTACTAAGGTTCAGAGAAGTGCCTGATATTAGTTTAGGCATCTTGGTTCCGGTTTACCAGTTTGATGTTAGATGTCATTCCGCTGCATAGCTCGGGATAAACGAGATAGTTTTAGTAGCTTATCCCGGCATAGTTTTGATGTAAGGCTGCCTGGACATCATAGGGTAAAATCTCATGGTTCATTTCATGATATAAATAACCAAACTTTGGTAATTCAGAATAGTCGTTGGGCTAATCTACCACCGGAGCTACTTTATGATGTGATTAAAAGGTTAGAAGAGAGTGAGAGTGCATGGCCTGCTAGGAAGCATGTGGTAGCTTGTGCAGCTGTTTGCAGGTCATGGAGGAGCATGTGCAAGGAAATTGTCAAGGGTCCAGAAATCTGTGGGAAACTTACTTTTCCAGTTTCTTTAAAGCAGGTGACTTTGCACCACTTGTCCTGCTTTGGTATTGTGCAAGATAATAACATTTTTGCGTATTTTAATGTTGTATAGTTACCTGTATTTAACAATTATATGCATTTGCTGATTGGTTCTTTGAAATCAAATACTGAATCATGCTTATTTTTCTTCGTAGTCGGGGCCTCGTGATGGAACCATTCAATGCTTCATCAAGAGGGACAAATATAATTTGATGTACCATCTTTTCTTGTGTCTAAGTCTTGGTATGCATTCTCTAGACCTTTCGAAGTTAATTATGTATTTGTAGTATTGGGTGTTTAAATGGTACTTCATCGTCAACCTGACTTTGTATCAAAGGAGATCTCTATAATAGCATGAACACTTACTACTTGATAAAATTAGTAGTATATGTATTTTGCATCATGTTAGAAGGTGCTTTTATTTCATCTTAAATGATGTCAATGGAGCTTGCTATATTGTCATTCCTCTTTGCTCCCATCCTCCCATTTAGTTTTTCCTTCCTCTTTCTTTCGTTTTCATTCTTTTGGGTGTTTGTATGTGATGTGGTGGGAGGGAAATTGTTCGCATCTTAAAACTTTCTAGCATGCCTGATTCTGGATTTTTCTTCTATCTTCTTGGGTTTATTTCAGTGAACATACATTGAATATATCTAAGTTTTACAATGCTCCGCAGACAGCGATTAAATGTTTTTCAGCTCCTCATTAAATTTGATGTAGAGCTTAGTTACATGGGAAGAGAAACTTGGAGGAGTCATGGAATGACTTAGAGTTCTTCGTGAGGAAATTTGGTTTTTTTGAAGCACTATCTAAATAAATCACCTAGTTATGTTTATACTCAAACTAAAAGTATCATAATTTTGCTTTGCATTTTTAGCATTATATCATATCAACAAGTGCGAAGAAAAATCATAACGTGGAATCTTTTAACTGCCTCTTGTTACTTGGAGAAGCAATCTATTTTTCTTCGTATGTGAATTGAGCGCGCTTGCTAATTTGTGATAACATCAAGAATTTGTGGGTGAAATAGTTATTTTTTATTATCAAAGATCAAGTTTTAAGTACTTGGCTGATAGCACTTCCAAAGATTTATCTACCAGTTTGGCTTTTATGTTTAGAGGTGTTTTACTCCCTGATATTCTCATTGAGTGCTTCCTAAACCAACGCTACAAGATTTTTTTTTTGTTATTATGATAAAAACATCGATAGAAATATTAAATGAAGAATGAGAAAATAGCAAGAAAGTCCAATTACATAAATAAGAATCCAAAATAAAAATAAAGTCTACAAACAAAATAAAGTTCAACTAGAAATAAAAATTAATATGTCCTCATCGCAGAGCAAACAGAAGCTTATGGTATTATGGAATCCTTCTTCTTAAATCTTAAAAATGCTTGCAATTATCTATTTATTCTAAATTGCATTGCTTGGCATGCTCGTTTCTTAGGCTATGGCAAGGTGCGGTCAGCCTATACCTTCCAGCGCTTTCAACAATGTTGGCTCCATTTTCGCATATTCGGTGAGTATTTGTTAACCAATGTTCATCATTTTTTTAATCATTCTAGGGACTTCTATTTCTTAGAGAAGAATGGTGTGTTTAGAAAGATGTGACGATGTAATGTCTATGATTACTTTTTACTTCCAAAACAATCAAGCTTGACAAAGTTCTTACAATTTTTCTGAATGCTGTATTTTTTGTCACTACAAATAGATTTCATTAATCTTTCTCTATATGGCTAACCTAATATTTCACATGAATTACTTGGCTATTCGAACTCCTAAATCTATCTTTTTATGAAAATTTTGCTGGAATCTTTTGTTTTCAGGTCTGTTATGATTGGAGCAAGGCTACCGAAAATCACAACCCTGCAACAACAATATTCCTGCATGTGCCACAGGTCTTGCTTTGTTTGAAAATGTCCCCCCTTGACATTAGATCTATTGTGGTTTAAATCCTGAACACGCTATATTGTGCAGGAGTCTGAAGTCAACGGCAAACCGAGGATTGGAGCCGGTGGTCAAAAGTAGTGATCTTTTGTAGAACGTGATTTTGTTGATTCTGAACACGCTATATCGTGCAGGAGTGTGAAGTGAAAAGCAATCCAAGGATTGGGCTTAGAGGAAGAAGGTAGTGATCTCTTCGAGAATGTGATTTTGTTAATTCGAGAACAAATTAAACATTTGAGTTCAAATTTTATCTACAAAATTTCATATATTAGACCTTTATAAAAAAAAATTGTATTCGACTGCTATTGGTGGCCTCGCCCAAATAATGTGAATACAACAATCAATATATTTCAATAAAATGCTAAACTCTCTAACTAGAAAAATCAATACCAAATAATGTGAATACAAACATCCCAATGAGTTTGGCGAGGCGTAAAAAACTTGGTCGAGGCCTCCAAAAGGTAAAGAAAAAAAGAATAGTCGAATACAATTTTCTTTTGTAAGGGTCTAATCTAATATACGGAATTTTGTATATAAGATTTGAACTCAAAACTTAAGTTGTTCTAGAATTAAAAAAAACTACCATCTACAAAAGATAACTACATTTTTCCTCCAAGCCCTATCCTTGGTTTGCCTTTGACTTCAAACTCCTGCAAAACCAACCAAATATAGCGTGTTCAAGATTTAAACCACAATGGAGCTCTAATGTCAACGGGAGAATATTTTCAAACAAAACAGGACTTGTGGCAAATGCGGATAAATATATGTTTTTACTGTTGCAGGGTTGTGATTTTTTTGCACCCTTGTTGCAATCATAATAGGCCTGAAAACAAAAGATTCCAGCAAAATTTTAATGTAAATCAAAGTGAAACAATTTATTAATCACATCTTTCATGGGTTTTACAACTTTTCAATTACACATTTTAAAAATTTCTATCACAATCTATTGAAAAATCTAATTTTAATACCCACCAAACATCCTTAGAGAAAGTTCCTCAGTAATTCCACTATGGCAGGGTAATGAAAACACTACATCTAACCTGACGTCTAATGCTTAGGAACTTTTTTAAAATTTGAGTTTGACACAAATTATTATTAGCCATTCAGTATTGGATGATCAAAGTTCTTGATGCCCACAAAAAATAAATTAATTAATTGATCATGTAAAATCAAACCTTCAGTATAGAAGTGAAAATGCACGCTGGTGGGAGAGAAATAAGGGGAAACCAATAGATGTACGAAGAGAAAATTAGGATGAGACGAAGAATGCATATTTTCGTCAGAATTCGGTGAGCAGCAGTCTCCGACAGAAATTTTGAAGGGCAAAACCATCCTTAAGGTTATTGAAACGAACATAATCAATAAATCCAAATCTCAACCAACAGGAGATAACAATTGCTAAAATCTTGAAGATTATCTCTAACGATGCTGCAAATCACAACAGGAATGCAACTCTTCCTTCGTTATACTTCCATAGAAAACAAGAGCTATAATGGACCTGAATAGGGCTTTCCGCAATTCAAAAAGCTTTTTCAATTAAATAATGCTTAAATGTAGCCCAATAGCAAAAGCAAGCCAACCATCAAGTATCAAGTAATTATTAGCCAGGTAGCCTGCCAAAATTTTAACATTATTAATACCGCAAGAATTGAAAACTAAGAATTGAGTGGACGTCTTGGGCAACGATCAAATGTAGAAAATAAACAGTTACCCATATCAACTCCTGTTTTATCATTATAAACCGAGTTCAGAGGAGAATACAAGGAGCCTGGCTTCTAAGGCAGAATCTATGTTTAGTACCAATTCCAAGATCTCAACATCATTCCTCATACACTTGAGAGGAACAGGGCCAATGCAAGAATATAAGAATCCAGAAGCAGTTAATTGTGGTGTAAGCAAGAAAGGAGACTACCAGTTGGAATAACAGCATTCAAAAGTGAAAGATCATATTCGAATCCGCACATCAAGCAAGCAAAGGACCCCCAATGGACCAAAAAAGTAGAACATTTTAGTGACACGATATATGTAAACTATTAGTGCCTAGTTTCACACTTTCAACAATGACCCATTTAGCCAACATGCCAATAAGAGCGAAACCACATAATACATGCATCCAGGAGTTCCAGGACTTCAAAGTTTCAGCTATCACAAATATGAATGCAAAGCCATCAGTTAAACAATATACTTGAGATTGGAATAAAAAATGTCAGTGCCTTGTTGCATACCATATAGTTAGACATGAAACCACCCACATCAGAAATCCCTAGATCCTTAACGATCATAAAGCCCAAAGCGATCACGATTATATCGATCACCTTGCCCACGGCCACCAGCATCCTTGTTACGGCCTCCAAATCAATCTCCATTACAGTCAAGGCCATAACTGCCACCACCTCTGCCACCATATCTATCATCCCTGTTCACATACCTACTGCTTTTAGCCCTTTCATCAAGGCATTCTCTAGCAAAGTGTCCAGGTTTACCACACTTAAAGCACCCTTTACCACTAGATCCTCGCCTGCTTCCATACTCAAGATCACGATCACGACAACGACCTCGATCACGATCGCGTGAGCGATCATTGTCATAATCTCTACCTGAACCCTGGTTTGCCCTTGCCTTGTTAACGGTAATGGTTCGGCCATCTAAATCAATCCCGTTCATGGCTTCAATGGCCTCTTCCATTGCATTCTTTTCATCAAAGGAGACAAATCTGAAGCCACGAGAGTGTCTAGAGAACTTGTCAACAGCCACCTACAAATACATACAACCACTTGCATGTAAGAGTCCATTCCTATAATATATATGAAGTGTTGAAATGAATTTCAAACATAACATTAAATCATAATCCGTAACTACAGAACGGTAGAGACGGGGCTTGCACAATAGCCATTCTATGTCAATAATCATAGCAATTGAGTCTATTCAAACATATTTTCTCAAGAAAATAACGAATCAAAAAGAAAAAGAAAATATTAAGTCCACCTCCGTTCATCTGCCAAAGAGAAGAGAGATAAAGAAACAAAACCAAAAGTGGAAACCAAACCAAACCACAGACAAAATTCATTCCAGTTGATATTGTTCACCTTACTACTGACATATCTCACAAAAACAACAAACCTAAAATATCTATGGCACCAAACATGTGCATAAGGTCTTCAAATAACATACGATTGAACAAGAGCACAAGAAAAGGAAAACAACAATCTGGTTACTGGACTGCTACATATGATTTATATACTAATGTTATGGCTCCATTTGGGATTTGACAGTTCATCAAATATGTCATTAGCAACAGGACAACTGACATATAACATTCTTGCTAATCAATATATGTTTTTATTTTTTCAATAGTAATAAAATAGAAGAAACACAAGAGTTGGGAAGCACGAACAAAGGAAAAATTAGGCAAACCTTCATCAGCAAGACAGCAACACTCTCTTAACATCAATCTACCTGAAATAAAACCACATACATAGGCTAAGTAAGAGAAATTGTAATTTTTCTGTGAGTTTACTTCGTCATGAATCTTGACAAGAAAAAATTAATTACATAATAAACATACCATGATCAAATCGAAGAGGACAGGCAATAAATTGACGATCGACACAAGAAAGAGAGTTAACAAACACTTAAAAAGGGCAATAAATTAGGCCTTTAAGGCTGAAAATGGGCGACTTCTTGTTCTTGTCTCCAGGTAGTCATAAAAAAATCTATTCAGTAACTAATACAAGGATAAATATAAATTTTGCATGCAATAATGCATTCAATTTGATGACATACAACATAATTCCCTCTTGAAATTACCTTTTCATTGTCGAAT